AGCTTGGGCAGCTTCCTTCATCTCAGGGTCTCACTGTCCTCATCTGTGAAATGGAGATAAGTAGCAGTACTCCTCAAGTAAATGAGTGCATTCTGCCCATGTCAACATGTACCTCAAAAACAGAATGTCAGCCGGGCATGGTGGCCCACGCCTATAATCCCAGCACCCAGCACTTGGGAGGCCGAGGCAGGAGAATCCCCACAAGTTTGAGGCCGACCTGGGCTACACTGTGAGCTTGAGGGCAGCCTGCACTACAAAGCAAGAACTGGTAGCAATGATCTTTTTGTCTATTTGTTTTTTGAGACAAGGTCTTGCTGCACAGTCCAGGCTGACCCGGAGTTTGAGCTCCTCCTATTTCAGCCTCCTAAGTGCTGGGATCACTATGTCTGGCTGCAGCATAGACTTTAATGCATATGGTGGGTACAGAGATGTCCACTTAAGCATCACTGTTATTGTTACTACTTAAACCAGGCAGATGTGTTCTGCACAGTCTGGCTGGATGCAGTTCATAGTAACGGAAAGGCGGGAGGGGAGCACGGTGTGGGCAGAGCCGAGCCTGTCCCACAATGCCTTGCAGTCCTGACCCAGAAGGCGACTACTTGGAGACAGGCGTGGTCTCAAAAGTGACAAGAGTTAAAATGAGATCATTAGGGTGGGACCTAAAGCAACCTGACTGATAGCCTTACAGAAGGGGAAGCCGGGATGTGGTGACACATACCTATAATCCTGGCATTCAGGGAGGCTGAGGCAGGAAGATTGAAAGTTTGAGCCCAGCCTGGCTGACTTTAGTGAGATTTTGTCTGAAAACAGAAAATAAAGAAGGGCTGGGGATGTGAGCATGCGGGTCAGTGTAAAGGCCAGGGTTCAACCTCAGCGGCACACGCACACGGACACGCACGAAGGCGAAAGGCTGACACAGGGCCGGGCCTGCCACAGAGGGAGAGGCGGGCCGGGACCGGGGCGGGAGGTGGCGGCAAGCCAAGGACCGAGGGACACAAGCTCTGCAGGAAGCTCAGAAGCTGGTGAGGCCGGAAGTAGGTGCCCTTCACAGCTTGGGCAGAAAGCTGCCCGGTCTTTGGGTTCCGGAACCCTGAGACAAAGGGGAGGCACCGCCTGGTGTGTGCAGCCTTGCTATGGCGCCCTAGGAGTAGCTGCCAAGGGACAGAGAAGTGCCGAGGGTCACAGGACTTCTTTAGTTAATTGATTATTAATTATTTTCTGCAGTACTGGAGATTGAACCCAAGGCCTTTGCACTGAACTACATCCTGCTCACCTTTAAAGTTTGACACGGGGACTGCCTAAGTCACCGAGTAGCCCAGGCTGGACTTGAGCTTGTGATCCTCCTGCTTCAGCCTCCCGGAGTGCTGTGACTGCAGGTGTGAGCCTCTGGGTCCAGCCGGCAGTGCCATCCTGCATAAGCCACACGCCTGCCTTTCGGCCATACCATATCCAGCCACCAGTCAGCGACTCTGCCTTTAGAATGTCCCGAGTCACCCGTGTGGCCACCTCAGCTCCCCTCACCTCTGCCTGTGCTTTCCCAAGGCCTCCTCCCCCGCTGGGAGGTGGATCTCATCCCACCTCAGGGGCCATACCCTGCCTGGTGGCCAAAGCTGTCTTCAGATACTGGGAATCTAGCACACAGGCCTGTAATCCCAGCTCCTAGGGAGGCTGAGGCAGGCGGATTAGAAGTTCGAGCCCAGCTGGGCAATTTAGGGACATTTAAGACCCTAGATCAAAATCAAAAAATAAAAACGGCTGGAGATGTACCTCAGTGCAAAGGCCCTGGGTTCAATCTCCAGTGTGTGTGGGATGCTACATCTCTGGGAACCCTCCGGTCCTCTCGCCACGGAGGCTAGTCTCCCGTGCGCCGTGTCTCTCCAATGCCTTTCTCCTAGTTCCAGATCCTCCAGCTCTGGCCAGGTCTCCCCGCTGCTGAGAGCCCTCCGTGGCTCCCCAGTGCCCCAAGGATGGACTTGGAACTTATGCTCTTGCCCTGCAAGGCCCCGGAGACTGGGTGGATGGGAGGCCGGACGAGGTGGCGGGTACTGTAGGTCCTGCCCGCTCCTAGGCCGGCCCCCGGGATTCTTGTCTTCTACCGCCTCCGCCCAGCGCCCGCTGCTCCGGGTTCCGCAGCTTCCAGCAACAGCCCGGGGCCGGGCCGGGCAGAGCTCTGCTTCCCCCTGGTGGCCACAAGGAGGAACGCAGCGCACTCTGCCCAGGCAGTGGCCTGGAACTGGTTCCTCCCAGCCTGGAGCAAATAGATCGTCAAGAAATGCCATCAGGGGCTGGGGGTTTAGCTCAGCGGCAAAAGCGCCTGCCTGGCAAGCGCAAGGTCGTCCGGTACCGGAGAAAAACAAACAAACAAACAAACAAACAAAAAAACAAAAAGAAATTCCGTCGCCTTGACCTCCAAGACATCCACGCAGAACCCCTTCTCCCCGACAGGGCCTGACTCGCTCTGGCGGGATCCAGCCTGGCCTCCTGGTTTCCTTCTGCCAAAGGCTCCAGGGCAGCTCGCTGCACTGTTTCTGATTTGTGTAGGTTGAATCTTTATTTTTGTTTACCATGAATTTTTTCCCCCTTCCGACACTGGGGATTGAACCCAGGGCTTTCACATTGAGCTACGTTCCCAGCCCTATCATGTATTTAGTTATCTATTTATTTATCGTCTGAGACAGGGTCTTGCTAAATTGATACGGTGCCCACATTGGGTTCGCATGCTCTCCTGCCCCAGCCTCCTAGAGTACTGAGATAGCAGGTTCGCTCCACCACGCCTAGCTTGAACTTTTTTTATTTTTTTTGTTCAGGCTGGCCTTGAACTCACTATGTTGCCCAGGCTGGCCTTGAACTCACAGTGATCATCCTGCTTGGGACTCCCGAGTGCTGAGATTACAGGCATGCACTACCAGGTGAGGATTGAACTTTTTTTTTTTGTCTTTTTGAGACAGGGTCTTGCTGTGCAGTTCAGGCTGGCCTTGAGCTCACTTTGTAGCCCAGGCTGGCCTCGAACTCACATGATCCTCCTGTCTCAGCCTCCCGAGTGCTGGGATTACAGGCATGCACCACCATGCCCGGCCTGAACTTTCATTTTTTAAAAGGTATTTCTGAGAGTTGTTTTAGTAGAGAAGTCCTCCTTCAAAGGCAAAGGAATCTTAGGCTGGAGGTCAGGGTCAGGGTTAGAGATGAGGAGGGAGTGACCCAGGGATGGGTGAAGGACAGTGTGGTGGCCAGAGGTCACAGTGTGCAAATGGCCTGTGGTGGGTGGGCCCTGGTCCAGGCCGAGGGCCGATAGGGCAGAGAGGGCGCTGTGACCCTGCAGAAAGACCTGGGCTTCCTCTAGAGGCACTGGGGCAGAGGCCCAGATGCTGCGTGTGAAAAGTTCCCCAGGTGGGAGCAGGGCAGGAAGGAGGGTGTGCTGGCAGCTGCAGGAGGCAGCAGAGGCTAGGGTGAGGCCAGGCAAGGCTGGGGCAGGACGGGATGGCGGCTGGACCCGGAGGGCTGCTGGGCCGTGCAGGGGAGGGAACGCCCCAGGGTCTCTGGCGTGTGGGTGAACTGAAGACAGAGCAGGGTAGAGAGGGGTCAGGAGGTGGGCTGGTGGGGGTCAGAGGCCGATGAATCCACGGGGATTCTAGAGCCTCGAGGGGACAGCGTGGAGCACGGATCAGGGTCGGGTCAGGCTGAGCCCTGCTGGGAGGAGCCGGGGAGGGGACAAGAAGCGGCGGGTCTGGCGCCCAGGCCCTGCCCGAGCGGCTGCCCAGCTGACACCCAAGGCAACTCCAGCACCAGGGCCGCTGTGTGGCAGTGACTGCCAGGTCAGGCTGTGGGTTCTGAGCCACTTGCCGTGTCTGCAGGGGCAGGGTCAAGGCATCTTGATTCTACTCCTGCCATGGGTGGGCAAAAGGGCAGGGGGCCGGGAGACCAGGTGAGGGCACACATGGATTAGGGTCAGGGTGGGGAGGCTTTGGGGAGCGTGAAGAGGGAAAGGGAGAGGGGCAGATCACCAGGATGGGGCACCGCGGTGCACGCCTGTAACCCTGGGACTGCGGGAGGCTGAGGCAGGAGAATCGCAAGTACAGGTGGAGATGCAGCACAATATGAAGGCCCTGGGTTCCATCCCCGAGACTTCAGAAAAAGTTTTTATTTCTTCCTGGCCGCGCTGAGGGTTGAGCACAAGACCCCGCTCATGCTAGACATGCACTCTACAGCCAAGGCCAGCAACGGTGGTCAGCAAGGGGCCCTTTCTCGAGGCAGGGCTTCTGGGGGAGGCGGCCCACAGCCACTCCCAGAGGGGCAGTCCCAGGTAGTGGTGGGGATGGCGAGATGGACTCCAGCGCTGGTCACGTCCCTGTGCTTCCAGAGCCCGGGCCCTCCCTCGGCAGGCAGCCTCCGCCGTCCCCAAGTGGGCGCTCCCAAGACAGGGACCCGGAAGCAGCCGGCCCTGTGGGGGGCTGTGGCCCCGGGAGGAGGCCCCTACATCTCTCTCGGGTTTGGTTTTTTACAAGATTGATTTATTAACTATGATACATTTCACATAAGGCCTTTTCAGTTTTTTACACCATTCCCATTGAGACAAGTACAATACTTGGTAGCAAATACATGATTTTAAAAAACAAAACCAAACAAAAACACCTCCTTCAGAGATGCCTCAGCCTTCGTGAGGGCTGACCATGCACTAACCAGGTTGGAGCCTCAAAAACCCACGACATGTTAAAGAAAGAAGTGGAAATTAAGCCAACATTCCTAACACCAACTAGAAGAGGTGCTGGTTAAAGCCCCTAAAATACAAGAAATAACTGTTATACTTTCTTTACATACAGTTCTCCACTTTTGCTGCAAAACAGAATTTTGGGCACACGGCCGGACTACTAACACATTTCAATACCATTAATATGCTTTTGTTTTTCTCAGGAAACTCAAAATATTTGTTAATTCAACATATATAAAGATCATTTAACATGTGAAAATACAAGTACCAGAAAAATAAGCTGGCAGCAGCACTATTCCAAATTTTCAAACAAGTTTATTCCCATACAACTTGGAGACATTTCTTTTTAAAATGTACACAGGGAACGTGGTTTCTTGATGCAAACAGTAACTTACGCCCATCTCCACTGCGCGGAAAGCTGCGGGGTGGCTGTGGTCATGTGACAGGGGCCGCCCAGAGGTCACAGGCAGGCGACAGCCCACAGGGTTCCGAGGGGGGACAGGGAAGGAGGGAGGGACCAGATCCTGGGGGGCCCGGTCCCCCCTCTTCCCTAACACAGCCCAACCTGCACACGGCCCTCAGCCCCAAGTCGGCCTGCCTCAGCCCCAGCCACCTGCCCAGGCCCTGCAGCCGCCCCCATGGCTGCCCTGGATGAAGGGCCTTCCTGAGCCACTGCAGCGCAGCTCTGCTCACAGGACAGGGGAGCACAGCCAGCGGTGACCGTGACAAGATGCTGCAGCCGACCCGCCTGCAGGTTTCATGGGCCTAGGGAGCCTACCGTGGGGACCCGGCCACCAGGACTCCCTCCCCTCAGACCGAGAGGGAGCAGGAGCCAGCCGCTCCTGTGACGTCTCCCTTAGCCGCAGTGGCAGACAAACATCGTGCCGGAAGCCTCTCCAGCAGGGAAACACCGGCAGATCTCTGTTTCTTCCGAAAATGCCCAGTGACGGGAAGGGTGACAGAATAAAGTGGTGCATGGTGACTCCAACATGTGACACAGGCCACCTCCCCACCCCTCACGCAGCTGGGAGCTGAGCAGAGTGGGGGTCAGGCGTGGCTCACCGCCTGGGGTGCAGCGGGCAGGGCAGCAACTGCACGGAGAGCCTGCTGACCACCACAGGTCTGGCTGCCCGGTGCAGCCCACGAGGGCCTGTGCGGAAGTGCTTTCCAGAATCTGGAGCCCTGGCGAACGCCAGGATAGGCGGCATGCTGCATGTGGCCAGGCTGTCCCCAACCAGCCCCTGACGAGACGAAGCCCAGCACTCACAAGTGTGGCACAGAGCGACCGAGTGTCTGTCCTCCGGCCTCGCAGCCTGGAGAAGCGGGAAGTGAGGGGGTAGAGGTGGCAGGGAAGCAGAAGCGAGGGCGACACTGGCAGCTCTGGTGGTGGGAGCCCCCGTGGCCAGCCCTGGGAGGGCACAGCAGCCCCGGATGTCGGCCCAGCTCCGTGCTGGATCTGGCTGCTCCTGCCCGTTCGTTCCCACTGCAGCTCCTTGGGGAGCAAGGCAGTGACAAGCAGAGAACTTAAAATGACACCCGGCTCAGGGCCGCAGGAGCTGGTGAGCCCCTGTCTGGCTGTGCCAACCTCAGCTGAAACGCCGGCCCCACTTCCAGCCCACAGCCCAGCGAAGGGGAGAAGCACCGCCGTGCAGTCTGCACTGCGGTGTGCACCGTGGTTTGGCTGGGGAGCATTCTTGGCGGGGTGACAGAACTGCAGGCTAAGTTACTGCTTCCAAGCACCTTGTTTGGCCACCAGGGACTGGAGACATAGCCAGCTTATCCAACGGAGGAACTGGGGTGGCAGACGGGAGGTGCAGGAGGCCACCCCTCCTACCCCACGAGTTCCTCGGAACTTGCCACGAGCTGCTTCTAAAGTGCAACAAACAGGACCCGGGGGCAGGGGGCGGCGCAGGCCCCTCCACCCTGCTCTCCCATGCCCAGGTACCTTAGCGTTAGGTGTGGCCCAGCAGTGAGGATGGACACGGGGACAGTGCACTTGGGCCTCCCAGTTCTGGCAGAACTGCTGTGTGGGACTGGTTGGGGGATAGAAGGGGCTCACGGGGTGTTTCGGAGGGCCAAGCTGGTGGTGACAGGCAGGGACATCCTCTGGCCCTGGGATCCCTATGCAGGCTCCATGGACGGCCATTTCTTTGTGGCGCACATAGCCCAAGTCCCAGACACTCCTGCTGGGAGCCTCCCACGCTGCCGCTCCACCCCAAGCCCTGCCCCGGGCCAGGCGCGTGCGAGTAGTGTTTCCGCGGTGTAGTGTTGGAGCTGGGGGCGGGGGGGCACAGCCTGGTCCCGCTGCCAGCTTCCCCCAGGGTTCCAACTGTCTTCTTAGGGACAGGGGTCTGCTGAGAGGGTGTAAGCAGGGCCCAGAGGCTTGCAGGCCAGGCCATGGGCATCCTTGTCTGGCTATCACAGTCAGGGTGCCCTCCACCTGCCTGCCCCGCAGAGCCGGGAGGGGTGGGAGCTTGAGGTCTGTAGTGTTCTTTCTGGGGTGTCTTCCTTGTCTGCTCTTTACTTGTGGGGGGCGCTCCACCTCCTTCTAGTGTTGCTCTGCCGGGAAGGGACTGTATATGGAAGTCCTGGTGGGCGCAGTGGGGGAGGCACACTCAGGCCAGGCTCATAGCTCTCCTCCCGAGGTTCCAGTCTGCTGGGCACACAGCCCGCAGGGAGCCGGGGCAGCAGAGCCGGGAGTGGGTCCAGGGCTCCCAAGGACTCCCCGCCCCAGTGTGTGTGCAGATTCGGAGGTGGGAAGAGATGAGATGGATGGGATGTGTTCTCCTCAGGGCACGGCGGTCGGGCAGCCTCATCTCAGGACACGGTGCTCCCCGGCAGAGGCTGAATCTGTCCCGGGAGCGGGCTCCGTGGAAGCAGGCGGCACCACGAGGCTGGTGTGCGCAGAAGCAGTGGTCTGGGGAGCAGCGCCTGACTGGGCTGGCCCCAGTGGTCCACGCTGGAGGGCAGGGCCCATCCACGGCGCTGCCAGAGGCCACCAGACCTATAGCGCTGGGCTTGCGGTGCCCAAGAGCCTGGCCTGTGGGGGGCCCACTGGCCATAGCACCGCTGAGGTCTTGACAAGGTGACAGAAAAGGGACCCTTGGCCCCGGCCCTGCCCAGCAGACTTGGTTTTGTTCAAGGCCGAGGGCCACCCATCGCAGAGAAGACAGGCTCTCCTGCTGCCCGGCCCGGGGCTCACAGCGTGTGCTCAGCTTGCAGCTGGGAGGGGAGCAGGGGCTGCATCGGGGACTGGGGGGTGGGTGGGGGGGACTGGGGTGGTGACGGCTGGCCCGTGACCGGCGTGGAGGTGAGGAAGGGGACGGTGGAAGCCACTGCAGAGGGGGAGCTGGGCACGGCGCCCGGGGGCTCGCTGATGGGCCGGTTGTAGAAGAAGAAGGGGCACTGCTGGATGAAGAGCTCGATGATTGTCTGGTAGGTGCGCGTGGCCGTGAGCGCATCCATGGTGCTGAAATCTGGCCTCATCAGCGTGGGCCAGAAGCAGATGGAGAGGTTCTCGCTCGTCATAAGGTTCACCTTGTTGTTGTGGCTGACTCTGCAGGTGACATCAAACCCAGTCAGGCCTGCGCGGGTCCCCGCCCTACCCCACACGGGCGCCCAGTCCTCGTCACCGGGCTGTTCTCCCTGCCTGCCTCCCTCTGCTGAGCCCTGGCTGCATGGCCCCTCAGCGACTGGCCGGCTGGACAGTTAGTGTGGCATGCCTGGCTCTGCAGGGAGCCACATGAGTAACACTGCCAGCTGCCTGCAAGCCCGAGCCGGGTGGCAGCTCCCTGGAAGCAGCTGTCCTGCCGGCAGCGCCGTACTCCGGGATGGAGGCCCGTGCCTGTCCCTGGCAGGCCCTGCCTGGAGAGAACATGGACCTGGGTGCCGCTGAGACTCACTTCTGGAGGTGCCAGTACCGCTGAGAATCTTCCCTGTCTTGTGTTCTGGGGGAAGCGAGGACACAGACTCCACAAGGTGCCCTGCAAGCTCAGCAAAAAAGCCAGGAGCGCTGCTGGTGCTGGGCACACTTGCAGCCACATGGGCCTCTCAGCCAAGGCAGAGACCTGAGGTTCACTCCTGTGAGGGCTCGGAGTGGAAGCCAGAAGCGCCCCCTGCGTGCGCCCGTCACGCTGCCAGCGGAGCCTGGCCCTGGACCTTGGTAACCACTCTCAACTGGCCTGGCCTTTCCCTCCCCTCAGGAGGAAACACCAGAAAGGCCCACAACCTACTTGTTCAGGTGAGAGATGACATATTTGAAGACTTCATGGTTTTCCTTTGGGAACCTCTTTAAGACTTCCTTGAGGGCGTGTAACTTCTGTTCTCGGTCATTGATTTCTGAGGAGAGAAACCCGGTCTTTTATAACCACAGCTGACTGGGCAGCCTGTGGAGCAGTCAGGCCCAGCGGGGGGAGCTCACGCACGCACTACTGCGGGATACCCTCTGGGGGCTTTAGATGCACCAACCCTGGCCTTCTCCCCAAAGCCTGAGCCCGCAGCTGGCACACCTGGCAGTGGCATGAGCCTAGCGCGAGGCTCACCTCCGTCCCAGACCTCTGCTGAAGTGCAGCACTGTGTGCTGGGGCTTCCTGCCCCCCCACCTGAGACGGAACCATCCAGAGACGCCACCATAAAGAACACCATTCTTTGGCCCTCTGGTTGCCCCGGAGACAGGCATCCCCATGCAGAGAGACTGCCTGCTTCCTAACCACCACCCACGCCAGCAGTCGTCTAGGGAGGGAGCCCGCCACAAGACCCGCGCTCTGTGCTTTCCTGGGGAGCCAGGGAACTCCATACATTGCCTGGTGGAAGGGGCTGGTGGAAACAGTGGGGGATTCTTATGCAGCTCATCAAAAGGGCCTCGTCCCCCCTCCCCTACTGCCGCCTACACACTGCCCACTGGGGAATCCTAATGTCCTGGGAGAGGGACGCAGACTGCCCTGAAGGAAGTGAATAACCATGCCAGGCCCAAGGCAGTCAGAGTTTGGGGCAGGATAGTTTCTACCACATTTAGAGAATAAGGAATCAGGCGCCCAGAGAAGTGCAGAGCTGGGAGTGCAAAGCTGAGCACCTGGCTGTGGAGCCGGAGCTGTGACCATGCGGCTCCCTGGTGTTCTGGATCCCCTCCTTCAGTGGCCTGGCCCTTTGTGGCCATGAAGCAGAACTAGCCCAGAGCCCAAGTGAGCCAAGGCAGAGCTCTCTGCCCTCGACAGACATCCCTAGAGTCCCTTCTTGGACAGAAGGGCAGCTCTAGCATGCTAGGGTTCGCAAAGCCACTAGAGGGAGCCATGAAGGAGACACTGGCCATCCATAGCTGCCAGGCCAGGAGTTCCTTGTTAAAAACTACAATGGGCCAGGTGTGGTGGCACATGCCTGTAATCCCAGCACTCAGGAGGCTGAGGCAGGAGGATCACTGTGAGATTGAGGCCAAACTGCATTACATAGCAAGACCCTCTCAGAAAAACAAAACCCAAAACCAAACCAACCAACCAACCAAACAAAAAACCCCAAAGCCCCACAATGGTTCCCAGCGGGTCTGGGTGCACAGGCCTCTTGGCCAGGGTGAGAGTTCCGCATGCTCTTCCTGCAGCTATGCCATGGGCTCTTCTGTCCCAGGCTCCTGGAGGTGCACAAACCCTCCACACCATGAGTTCCTCAGGAGGGTCACGGCCGCCTGGGTAAGAACCTTTGCAGCGGGTCACTCAGGAGCCTGGTGCAAGCTCCCAGGCATTTCCCTGAGCAGGGAGGAAAGTGGTGTGGAGCTTCAGAGCTCAGATCCCAACTCAGACAGTCCTGGGTACTAATATTCTCTCTAATGCCACATAGCTGTGTGACCCTGGACAAGGACACCAGAGTCAGTCACCAGCAGAGCTCAGGGCTGGACACAAGACAAGCATCTGGGAGCTGTCCCTGTGCAGGGCACCAGGAGTGACTGGGGCTGGCAAGCGTGTGAGGGAGGGTGAGCGCAGGTAGAGCTTTGGTCAGAGAGTCGGGCCTGATTAACAAGAGCATCTGTTAGAAAATGACTAAAAACCACAGGAAATAATGTAGAACTATGGTTAGCTTCATTCTCTGAATCCAAGATTCATTTTAAGGGTTCAACCTCAACAGCAGATTCTTGGGAGCCTTTATTGTTATGTCTCAATGAAGTTTGCTTAGAAAAAGTAAACTGAAGCTGGGTGTGGTGGCACACACCTGTAATCCCAACACTTGGGAGGCTGAGGCAGGAGGATTGCCTTGAGCTCAAGGGCAGCCTGGACTACATAGGGAGACCCTGTCTCAAAATAAAGAAAGAAATAAAGAAAAGGAAAGGAAAGGAAAAGAAAAAGTAAACCATTATAGGGAGGTCAGAGATCATTTGGAGAAACATGAGAAGCATGTATACTACAGCTCCAAGCTCCGCTTAATAAAATAATCATGCCCCCTTCCCGATGCGGGTGTGCAGGTCTCTGTAGGTGCCTATGTGACACAAACACAGCTGTGTTTGTTTTAATCAGGCTGTGAATGGCAGCACCTTCACAGAAGAGCGGAGACTCAGCCATCCTCCTGGCGGAGACAGGAAGCTGGGCTGGGCAGGCCACAGTCTGCCGGACGCCCTCTCTCCTTCCTACCCAAGAAGTAGCAAAAATGGGCTTCCTCTCTTTCCTCCTTGGGGCAGTAATGGAGCCACGGGAGGAAGCCCAGCCCTGCGGCTTGGAGCCTGATGAGGGGCTGGCGGTCAGTGTCTTGCCCTCCCCCTCACTTCCCCCAGCCCTGGCCCAGATCTCAGGGGCACCACAGGGAGAGAAGGGGAATCCTGGCAAAGCCCAGCCCAGCCTCTCTACACAAGACCAACCCTGCCTGCGTGCTTTGTGCCTGTACCCCTTCTCTCCCTCCCAGACCTCACCCTGGCCCCCAGGCCCTTCGGTGAGGCATTCACTCTAGGCCTAGACCTCTGCACATGCCCAAGACACCAGTGATGCCCGATGCCCGTCTATGCCGGGGTACTGTGGGAGCATTTCAAAGCTGCTCTTGGGGGCCTCACCATGCACTGAGTGGAAAGAAGCGGGCTGGGCTTTCCCCCCGTGCTGGCTGAGAAGCATGCTCAAGAGGTCACATTAAGGCCAAAGGCTGGTGATGGGATGGGTAGGAGAGGACCAGGCCAGGGTCCTGGCTCGGCCACGTGCTCCAATCCCAGCCATGCCTCCGCTGCAGGAATGCCCTGGGAAGAAGGTATGTGGCCGCACACAGCAAGAAAGGTGCAGGGGGCATTTTGAACCCAGGTGAACCAAGACCAAGTCTGGACACAGAGTAGGTGACTGTGAGCCGTGAGACTCCAGGAACTCTAGAGGAAGTGGTGGCATAGGCTACCAGGGGCCTTAGAGACACCTTGTGTAGCACAAACCAGGGCTCAAAAAGATAAAAAACTGGCCCTAAGTCACCCAGGCCGGTGGCTGCATCTCTGCCCTGGCAGCCTGCCATCTTTGGCCCCAGCCTGCCAAGCCAGTGCCCAGGTTGATCTGCTGCTGCCCCTCAGTGCCTGGAGCGCCCTGTACACCCACATCATGAGAAAGGGAAACAGCCTGGCTCAAGGTCATGGGCACTGTGTGTAGCAGCCAGCGTGTGGTTTGTCTTCTCCCCCAGGTGGCAGGTGACTCCAAGGCCAGGCTGGGATCTTACTGTGTGTGGCTGGAATGGAAATTTTAGGTTGTCTTTCTGGAGGTGACCTTGCAACATGTTCCCTGCCCCACCAGATGGAGGAGGAACCACACACTCTCCGACCACTGCCATATGGGGCCTGGCACATAGGTGGCTCTGTGAACTTTATACACCCGTGCTTGGAAGTGAGGGTCAGGCGAAGGCAAGGCAGGGTCTTAGAATCAGCAACGTCACAGTCAATAGGGGAACGAGAACCCTAGGGCAGCAGCATCATCTGTCTGCTGACTGTGGCAATGGGACTTCTCTCTAGCCCAGGTTGTCTCAGCAGTCAAAGCGGAGGGTAGGACAGTAAACCAGTATGCCAAACCACGTCCCCCAGACAATCTGGTAGGGCTAGTGGTCTCCCTAAACCAAAAAGATGCAGCTTTACCAGCAGTTTTAAGGGTTAGTGAGGGTCTTGCGGCTAAGTCCTTATTAGCCCAAAACTTCCGGCCTAGGATGGAACCAGCTCTAGGACCTTGATAAACAGCAAGTCAGACAGGGCTTGGGGACCAGATTGGGCAGGGCTAGGAATACGCAGGCAGGCGGGATAGGGAGAGGAGAAGGCAGATTCTCACAGGAATGATTCCTAGACAGGTATGATGTGGGCAGGGCAGATACGGGTGATACAAAGACTTCTCCTCCAACTCCTAGAGGCTCAGTCCTGGTCCTGGTCTGACCCAGGGCCACAGCGCAGGCCCTCCCCTCCTCCCTGCTTGCCTTGTTGCCTGCACTGCTGGCCTTGCTTGCCTCACTCTGCAGAGAACATCGCCGTGCATCAGAGGGCAGGGACTCAGACACCGCTCGCCACTCCCCAGCAGGGTGGCCCTGGGCCTCAAGCTGAGCTGTGCCCCCTCTGAGAGCCTAAGTTCCCTCCTCTGTGAGATGAGGCATCGCACCAGCACCTTCATGCTACCAAGAGCACGGATGCCGCGCAGACAGCCAGGCCAGGCGCGCCGCAAGCACACGTGAGCTCTGGCTGTCACTGCCATTCACTCCCCAACGCCCCCGAGTCATTCTAAATGTGGCAGGAAGATAACTGGTGAGTAATCGCAAAAACCTCTACTTCGTGGGCACATTTTCAACAGTGTTCAATATTGTGAAATTCTGTTGCCAACAGAACAATCAGACAGTGGCCTCAGGGTCTGTGGGTGTGAAAGCAGGCCCAAGTTCCAGCCACAGACATGGCTGCTCTTAAGTATTAAGTGGAAGGAGCTGGTCAAGTTGATGTTGCCATGGAGACACAGCCAGTCTGGAAATAGCTATATTCAGGCACCATGTCCCTTGACACTAACTTCTGCACTGCCTGCTGTCTCTGGCTCAGCTACCCCCAGCCCACAGAGCTGCACTCACTCGTCCCTTGGTTGCTTCGGCTGTGAGAGGGGCCATGACAGGGACAGCCCCCCTCCCCCACTCTCTTCTGCTAGGTCCAAGACTACAGTGGAGGCCCAGCTGACTAGTGCGGGCACAGGAAACACATAATGGGAAGAGGAAGCCGAAAACCTCCACCCTTTCCTAGGCCACTGCAGCAACCTCTTCAGCGGTGGGAGCCCCACGGAAGTGGCACTGTGGGAAAGGGGGCTGGTTCACTATCAACAGTACCTCCCTACACAAAAAGATGCCCTGTCAGCACTTCCCGTGGAGACAATGACTTTCTGTGGGGTGCCAGGATCCCATGCGCCTCTAGATGGCGCCAAGGCAAGACAAATGCAGAGAGGCATCCTGGCCTTCCAGAGGCTGAGGACCGGGCCACACCTTCCACTCTCCCAACTTCTGTTCAGACACAAGCCTGGGCAAAGGCTGAGAGGGCCTGCTCCAGAGATCTCCTATGCTTTTCACTGGAGCCTGCAGGAGAAGCCAGTGTGTCGCCACCCCTAAGTCCCCTGTCTTCAGAGGCAGGTGGGAAGGAGGGCCAGGCCCTGTGACAGGCCCACAAGTACGATGCTGTCTTGCTCTTTCTCTGGTGGGTGACGTAACCTGAGGGTAAGGTTAGGAGCTGTGACCAACTCCATCTGGCTTGGCTACATGGGCAGAAGAAGGGAAAGGGGCACCCAGGCTGTGGAAGCAAGTACTAGCGGGGATGCAAACGCTGGAAAGGTGACCTTGAGGGCAGCTCAGCGGCCTCCGCTCATGGATGGGCTTCCTCAGCACCCGCTTCTGTTAGAGGTCACCACGAACCTGGCACCCGGACTCAAGGGGAACTGAGCTATAACCTCTAAGCTCTGCCTCACCACTGACCTTGTGGGTAAACTGCTGGTTTCAAACCCCTTCTCTGAGTCGGCCAGTGACAAGACGAGCCTAATGCTCCATAGCCTGAGGAGCACCCCTCCATTCGTCTTCCCAGGCCACCTCTGGGCAACTCAAGAGCATTCCTTTCTGCTGGTGCCAGGCAATGGCCACTTCTGGTCCTGGCCCCGCAGTGGGGCAAAGTCAGAGGCTGCCTTTGGTTAGAAAAGGTAGTGTGTCCACGGGGAGCTCCAAGAGGTCAGGTGAGAGACCACCACGGAGACCCAAGGGGTGAGTGTGCTTCAGCGCCAAGGGAGCATCTGGCTGGGGCCACTGGAATGGTCCCTTTCCTTCCAGAGGTAGCTTCCTAAGGGGCGGTATGGCCTCAGACTTTACTTCCCTCCCACAAGGGGTGGGAAGGCAGGGAAGGAAAGGGGAGAGGAAAACCTGCTACAAAATCAGTCCTGGTCAGCCTCACCTCTAGACCTTTCCAAGCCTCCCTTCACCCACAGCAGGGAAGGTTAGGGCAGCAGCCAACTGCAGGGCCTGGGTGGGAAAGCTGTCCACAAGCAAAAAAGCAGGGATTTGACCAGGCTGGGCACCCAAACCATATACTTCATGGACAGAGCACTCGGGAAAGCTGCAGTTGTCTTGTTTTTTTTTTTTTTTTGGTCTTTTTTGAGACAGGGTCTCCTTATGCAGTTCAGGCTGGCCTTGAGCTCGCTTTGTAGCCCAGGCTGGTCTTGAACTCTCAACGATCCTCCTGCCTCAGCCTCCCGAGTGCTGGGATTACAGGCATGCGCCACCGCGCCCAGCTGCAGCTGTCTTGGTAAAACCCTCAGAGCCTCATCTGTGGTCTGCCAAGGCAGCCTAGTTGGAAGGCGCCTGGGCCTACTGGCTACTTCCCTCTCCCTCGGCCTGTCCAACCCCAGCGTCAAGGCGAGAGCATCTCTTCTGCGGGAAGGACTTGTCTGTACAACCGCGCCCCTCCCCTACCGGCCTCACTGAGCCTGCTGCGCAGCCCAGGGGCCAGACCCCAGGGCCGCTGGTACTCACTGTGCGCCTCCACCAAATCAATCTGCATGTTGTACGGGACCAGGGGGTCTGGCAGTTCTGAGAAAAAGCTCTTCATGGCACCAGCCACCGTATTTACCGTAAAGTCTTTCTCTGCCAAGTCCAGGTTGTGGTCTGAAAGGAAGTAAGGAGGGTGAGGCTGGATCAACCTATGCTAGGCAGAAACAACAGGGACACTCAAGGCCCGGGAAAAGCCAGAGAAAGCTCAGGGCCCTGGAATGCTGGCCACGGCTGGCCTGGAGCTGGGCAGGGACTCAGGATTAGAAAGGATTGGGGTGGAGGTGACATGTGTGAATACTGCTAGAGAGTCTGAAGCTGGGCGTGGTGGTACACATCTGTCACCCCAGCACTCAAGAGAGGCGGAGGCAGAAGGGTCTCAAGTTCAAGCCCGGCCTCCTAAGTAACAACACCGTCTTAAAAGGGGGCGCTCTGGGGATGTAACAGGATGCAGGCCCTGGGTTTAATCTCCAGTCCCATAAACACAAGACAACAGATCTGTGGTTGAAAGAGGGAAGTGACCCTGAGCCCACTTTCTGCGGTTGCTGGATCTGCCGCCCTTTAGGTAGGGGTTGCACCAAGGCGTCTGAGCAGCCTGCCTCCCTCCCCGGCTGCCTCTTCTCACTGCCCTCCCCAGGAGGAAAGGAGGAGGCTCTGCTGCGAGGCTGCCCACTTTCTAGGTGCGCACCAAAAAGCGTGACAGCCATCCTGATGACTGCCTCTGTCCTGGTCCCCCGAGGCTGCGAAGCTTAGGAAATACCATGGCTCCACAGACCTTGCCTCTGGCTTTCTCTCTTCCTGCATTCCTCATCCTGGGATGGGTATGGCCAAGAGTCCATCTAGGGAGCTGTCAACTGTTTAGACTCTTGCCTCTTTTGTCACGAGCCACCTAAGCGCATTCCAGTCAACAGCACGCGTGACTGTGGTCCCAGAGATGGTACCACCTAGTGACGACGAGGCTGTTTTAGTCTGGGCAAGCACACTGATGCTGTCCAGCGACAGAACAGTTAACAATGCAGTTCTCAGATCGTGCCCCTCACCTTCAGCCACAGGAGACTATGCAAGTGCAAGCTCCGAAGTAGACTTCACTTTTTTTTTTCTTTTTTTGCAGTGGCAGGGATAGGACCCCGGGTACCACACTAAGCAAGCGCTGCACCACTGAGCCACAGCCCAGTCCTTCCACCCTCATCTGACCTTGGCCCCCTGACTACAAGAGCAACCAGCGCTTCCCACTCCTGTGTGCTCACCCCAGCCCGCTGCAGCTAGCCGGGCCTGAGGGTGGCGCGCGAGGTGTATGGTGGGGGCTTGGCCCCTTTCTGTGGCTCTCTGCGGGCCTCCTTCCTGTCCACTGCTCTCCATGTAAGGCAGTGCGACCATGGAGGCCACACGTGACCTCTTCCTGTCTCTGAGCTACGGCACCCTGGCTGTGGCTTTGCAGAAACACCCCACGCCCCATGGGCAATGCAGCTATCACATCTGCCTTGCCTGGCTCTGGTAGCCACACCCACCACACACTTAGCGGGCCAGGGGCCCCTTACCTTGGTCGAACTGTCTCTGCAGACTCTCCATTTCTGACTTGTTCCCGCTAACACGGTAGATACCTTCAGTGCTCAGTCCTGAGGAGAAAGCAACAGGTAGGGGTCCTATTAGCAGGAACGGTGGAGCAGGGAACGAAGTCTGCACACGAGGAATGAAAGGCACCAGGTGCCCATTGTGAGAGGAGCGCTCTCATTTGTTTTTTCTGGATGTTTTAACCCACTTCCAATTTTCCTTTTCATTTAAAAATTTTAAGGGCCAGGGATGTAGCTCAGCAGCACAAATGCCTGCCTGGAAAGCGCAAGGTCCTGAGTTTGATTCCTGGTCCCACAAAAAAATTTTAAAATACCTGAGTGTGGTGGTGTACCTCTGTAATCTCTGCTACTCGGGAGGCTGAAGTAGGAGGATTGAAAGTTTGAGGCCAATTTGGGCAATTTAGAGAAACCCCGTCTCAAAACAAACCAAAAAAGGGACTGAGGGTGTAGCTCAGTGTAATGGCCCTGGTTTCAATGCTTCTAAATACTAAGGAATTATGTTAATGTTATTAATATTTACCTCCCAGCACACCATCACTTTTTTGGAGACAGGTCTCTATTCTGCCCAGGTTGGTCTTGAACTTCTGCGCTCAAACAATACACTTGCCACAGCCTCCTGAGTAGCTGGGACCGCAGGTGTGCACCACCAAATCTGGCTCCTGTATTCTTTTATTAAAATTTTTAAAAATACATAATGCAAAAAATTTTTTTTGAGATAGTGTCTCACTATATAGTTTAGACTGGCTTGAACTCACAGTGATCCTCCTGTCTCAGACTCCCAAGTGCTTGGATTACAGGCATGTGCTACCACACCTAGCTCCTAAAAATTTTACATTTTCAAGATCAGTCATGTGATTTTGTTTTTGAGACTGGGTCTTTTTGAGACAGGGTCTCCTACGCAGTTCAGGCTGGGCTTGAGCTCACTTTGTAGCCCAGGCTGGTCTCGAACTCGCAATGATCCTCTTGCCTCAGCCTCTGAGTGCAGGGATTACAGGCGTGCACCACCACGCCCGGCTGAGACTGGGTCTTGCTATGCAGTCCAGGCTTGTCTCGAACTCACAGTGATCCTCCTGCATCAGCCTCCCAAGTGCTGAGATTACAGAAGTAGGCCACCACACTCGGCTATGATTTTTTTAAGAAAACTGGCACTGGGGCTGGGGATACAGCTCAGCGGCACAAACACCTGCCTGGCAAGTGCAAGGTCCTGAGTTTGATTCCCAGTACCAAAACAAAACAAAACAAAACAAAAAAACATTAAACAACTGTCATTTCTATGGAACTTATTTGGTGTTCATTGTAAGAAAAACACTCAATAGTAAAAATCAACTAATACAGAACATAAAGAATCAAGTGCAAGACCAACTACAGCCTCTACCCTGGGGAAGAGGTCATGCCGTTGTTTCAGATGGATTCCAAACACTGTCTACTGAGCCCACTCTCACTGTCATGGGGAAGGAAAACCCATGGTTCACCACCAAGATCATAAGTCTAAAGGACAGTGACATCATTGTTAAAAACCAGGATGGGATCTGCTGGTCAAAGAAACTCTGGGTCCCTCGTGAAAAGCCTGGCCCTGTGCAACGCTGGCTTGCTGAGAACATGCCCTGGTGGCCACCACAGGGCATGGAGACAGTGCAGGCAGTGAAGGGCAGATCAGGCCTGAGGGGAGTGGGACCCCTGAGAGCCATGGGTGTCAATGTCATTGCTAGCTGGCTGCTGTGTCTGGGAGTCCCCATCTCTCAGGAGAAAAGCAGTCACTTTGTATCTTCAGGGCCCCGGACTGGTGGCACGTGAGTAATGAAGAGCATTAGCACAGAAGGCATCAATTTCCTGCTTAAAACCTGTTAACTGCACACAGGCCCCTCACCCAGAGAGAAAGGAGCTAACGGGCCAGCCCCAGTGACACAGCACTGTGACCGAGGTGCTGCCCTGGCTGTGCTCACACGCCACACGCTTCCCACCCGAGCAGTGTCCATATGCTGTGTGCCACACCCACCATGCACTTAGCCATGAATCACGATGCCATCAGCCTTCCACACCCCCGGAGGAACTACTGGCTAGGACAGAATACAGCTGTGAAAAGCACGGTTTACAAGGGCGAAGTCCTTGCCCCAAGTTGGCTACAGGGTAGCCTGTCAGAGCCCAGGCCCCTGCCACACTTGTGCCTCCATATGGTTCCGGGAGCCCCCAGCTCAGCCTCATGCTGCTTCACTTTAACCCACTGGGCTGGGGTCTGGCCTGCAGTGTCCCCAGAAGAAGCCCCACTTGTGTCAAGTTCCCCGGCTCTGCATGGCTTCAGAGACGGTGCAACCCCTCCTGCTGTTAGAGACCCATTCACCATCCCGAGGGTCTGTATAGTACTTTGATCAGGGAAGCGTCCCTCAGTGGCTTTTCTAAGCTTTTCTTAGACTTGTTTAAACTTCCTACTTATTTCACAGCTCAGGTGCCACATCAAAGGCTTACACGTGAGATCACCCACATGCTGACAAGTCAGGAGTATGCGTCAGCAGTTTCAGGTTTTTACTTTCTAGTTTGAAAAAAATAACTACTTTTCCTTCCCTTTCCCGGAGTATCAGCTTTAACAGAATCTGTTGATATTCGTAGTACATAATAATTACGCTCACTGTAGGGAGTTGGTACACGTAGATAACGTATCTTAATTTTTTTTACTCCCCTTCTTCCCTACTTCCCTCCCAGCTTTTTTTAAAATTTGAGATAGGGTCTCAGCTGGGTATGGTGACACAAACCTATAATCCCAGCACTCAGGAGGCTGTGGCTGTCAGTTCGAGGCCAGCCTGGGCTACATAGTGAGTTCAAGTTCTGCCTGACCTGCAGAGCAGGTCCTGTCTCAAAAAATCCTGAGCCAAGAAAACAAAACCAAAAACTCAAAGAGTATGCCTGGCTCCATCAGCCCAATTTAATGCAAAGAAAATCATGGTACAAATGGAGCTTAAAAAGCCCTCAATGCAACGGTGTCACAGATCCCATGTCCCAGTGTGGGGAAGCACATGCTGCCCTGTGGAAGATCCGACAGACCCAGGCCACTCATCACCTCCTGCATCCAGACCCTCTGCACAGACAGAAGTGCCCTGTGCACCGCGTCCTCGTGACACTTGCCCTGGCATCAGAGGGCAGAAGACAAACACTACAGATCAGCTATCTGAGAACGATCAGAGGTGTGAGCCACCAAAGCCTTGCTAGATGGAACAACAAGATGGTAACATTTTTAAGCACAAGGTCAGCTCCAGAGAACCAATTAATCACCAACTTAGTATTTCCTGTAATCTGAGTGCATGTTTATTTACAAAATCTCATTTTAAAATAGCAATTCTGTTGCTATCGTACTTAACACCATGGCATAATCTAGGAAAGCTATCATTAGCTTGGTCAGTACAACTTATCACAACTACTAATTAGACATCAACTTAAAAATGCGAGTTCACTGCCAATGCCATGCAGGCTGCAAGTGACTAGTGGGTGATGGCACCCAGGTGAGAACCAGGACTCGGAACAGAGCGGGAAGCTTGCTAAGGGGCTCCAGGTGGGGCCTGGTGCCCACAGGAAAGCACCACCAGAGTGACTCAGTGCATGCCTGCTGGCAGAAAGCAGAACTCTTTCCAGAAATGGACCCTACCCACTGTGTCCACTCCAGGTTCCCAAACTCACCTGAAAAAGCACCAAGCTTAAACGAACATTCATCTCCCTTCCTCCCTCTCCTACTCCCTTCTCCCTCTTTCTTCCCCCACAGTACTGGGGACTGAACACAGGTCCTTTTTTTTTTTTTTTATTTTTTGGTACTGGGAATCGAACTCAGGACCTTGTGCCTGCCAAGCAGGTGCTTGTGCTGCTGAGCTATATCCCCGGCCCCTGAACACAGGACCTTTGTAGGGGGTTACATTCCAAGCCCTTTTCAAATTTTGAGACAAGGTCTTGCTAAGTCACTAAGTCACTAAGTCACCCAGGCTAGGTCTGAATTTTCAATCCTCCTGCCTCAGGCTCTCCAAGTGCTAGGATTGTAGGCATGTACCACCACACCTGCCTTCTTTTTAAAATATCCCTACAAATGTCACTTAAATTTAAATTAATCTTTGGGATTTAGATAAGGAAAAGCTCACAAAGGTTAAGACGATTATTTTCAAATATTCAAACAACCACCATATAGAGCAGTCCTGTTGCAGTGGCTCTAGGGAACGGAGCTACAACTAAGAGTAGAAATTACACTCTCTCTATATATAAAATGCCTACTCATAGCTACAGACATCATGTACTGGAACTGCCCAAAGCTTCTGCATTCCCTCCTCACTGGATAGCCATCTGACTGTCATGTGTTTAAGGAGATCAGTATCTGACCTAGGAAGCTTAAAACAACAATCATATAATAAACCACCTGCTGAATGCCTACTACGCATGGGGCCTGCGATGCTCAGTGTCTGCCTGGCCCTTGGTGCTCACACTGACTCCTTAGACAGGTGCCACTAACCCCACTGCACAGAGGAGGCTCAGAAGTGGTGTGCAGAGCCGAGGAGCCTATGAGCTGTGCTGGTGTGGTCTGAACCTGCTGGATTCTCAGGGCCCATAGTCTCCTACTATGTTCTACTCTGCCAGTTCTCAGAACTGAGTAGCATCAGAATTAGCTGGAGGGCTTGTCACAGACCCTGGAACCCTAGATTCTGTCACTTCAGCGTAGAGGCTGAATTATCATTTTCTTTTTGTCTTTTTGAGATATCGTCCAACTATGCAGTTCAGGCTGGTCTCGAACTCACAATAATCCTCCTGCCTCAGCCTCCCAAAGTGCTGGGATTACAGGCGTGCGCCACCATGCCTGGCTGAATCAGCATTTTCACACATTCTCAGGGTTGCTGCTGCTGGGTAGTTCAGACCTCCAAGGTCTCTCTGACTCATGAATTCAATGAGGCAATATAGGGGCTGAGGGTTTAGCTCAGCAGCACAGCACCTGCCTGGCAAGCGCAAGGTCGTGAGTTCGATTCCGGGTACCGGAAACTCCCCCTCCCCAAAAAGCAATCAGTGAAGCAATATACCAGACA